AATAAAGTAATTAATTATATTACTAACTATTTATTATAAATAAAATAATAGATTATTATTATAAAACCTGGCTTTTCTTTATTATAAAACTCTTTTCTAATACTTTTTTAATCTTTGGATTATTATAATTTCAATACTATAATTTATATATCGATGTGACGGAACAGACGGCTCTTTTCCGCCCACTGGCTCATACTACGTATTTAGCATGATACAACGGCTCTCTTGGACCTTCCTTTCACAGCTTAGAGCCCTAGCTCTACAGCTCTAGACCTAGGCATTGTACGATGCTTATCTCTGGGACTCTTTCACTCTTTTGGGCCTAGCCCTTATGGCTCCCAATACCTGTATATATAATCATCCTTTTAGCACCCTACATAGCTCTTCACTTGTAGATTCTAAGTACACAATCAGAGTCCTGTTTATACCCTTTTGATCACATTATCTACAAGTTAATACTCACAGCTATGATTAGGGATAGTTGTTAAATCTATCCAAATCTCCCTCTCAAAACTAATGCCGACTACATCGATACTATCTAGAAGTGAAGAATTCGCATCAGTCGATGACCTCAGATTTCCGTTAATAAATTGATAACGCGATGATTCCTCCAAAAAAGAAAGGCCAAAGTGGTACTTCTGGTTCTAGCAATAGCAAAAATCAGCATGATTCACCCGGCCACAAGCACAGCGTTACCAGCACTCCTCTTGACTTACCAAAAGCTCCTGATGCTCTTCATCGTTCCCTACCTCCCCTTCCTGATTCACTACTTGGTAACAATCCCTATTCTTCTCCTTTAATGGAAAAGGAACAGGAAACCATTACAATGAACCCCGGAAAACAATCAGGGCCTTACCTCTTCTTGCCCCCCTCCCCTGCTCGATTCAGATCCCCTGTTTCGGACGCTTCCGCACTTGCCGAGAGCCAAGCCGAAGTCAGGAACCTGACCCTCATTCTACAGGAAATGGAGCTACGATTGGCGGAAAAAGAGACTCTCTTCAGGGCACTCGCCCTACCCAATCACCTTCCACTTCCAGTGCTGCAACACCTCGTAGCAGTAACACTGGAGTATACAGCAGACCTGCGGCACCCTCTGGCATGCCTTACCGCTCGCCCTCTGCCGCACTTGTCCTCACTCCACGACACTTTTTAAGTGGACCCCCTCCTACTCCTTCCTCTGGTTTCAGACAAGCCACTCCTCAATACACACCTCGTACCTCTGCAGTCATCAATGAAATTGACGACGAGATGAATCCCGAGTTGGATATTGAAGAGTTCGATAACGATTATGGTGGTCAAGAAATTGACCAAATTGACCAAATCGACCAAATTAACCAGACCGAGGATTTTCTATCTTGGTCAAAAAAGGATACTTTATAAGTACTGTCTCTCTTATAGGGCAAATACAGGATATGTTATACCTTGATTTGTGTACCCTCATAGGTAGCTGCTATCTCTCTTTTCTAATCACTCTGATAAGGAATGGTATCGCACTCAAAACACAAGGTCTAATAGATTCCAAAGCCAACAGTTATACTTTAATTAACCAGAACCTAGTAAAGCATCTTGACTATCGTACAAAACCAATTACATGAAAGCTATCGATTTCTATACCTATCAAAGGGTATAATGGTATTATCGATTCACACGTTTCTTATATTATTTACTTTACTTTAATAATCGATAAATATATTCAGTATAACATTCCTTTCCTGATACTCCCTTTAAGATATCATCCCATCATTTTAGATTGTTAATGGCTAGATATTCATGATATTGGCTTAAACTATTGTTGCCGACAACTTCAATAACATACAGACTATCCTCCTACAGCATCTTATACCAAGTACTTCTACATCAATCCTCAGACTATACATCTTCGCGATACTATCAACAGAAAACATCAGCAAAATGTTATTCGACGAAATACAGCAATCGATGGTGAAAACGCCTTTAAGGCCTTCCCTTTGAGAAAGTCTCTTGTCGTTGCCCTAACCAATCAAATCGCTTCTAGCCCTGGCACCACCAGGCTAGCCGATACCTTATTGGCTAGTGCACAAACCAAGAAGACCAGAATCATCTCCTCGATCTCGACCTCCGACCTCCCTCGCGCAAAAGTACCCTCAAACAGGAGAACCTTTGACAAATCCCTGGGCTTTGACCTTACCCGAATATTAAGAGATCTCCAAGAACCCTATTCGAGTCTTCCAATACCCACAATTCGAAGAAAACGTCCGATTTCGCCAAATTCACGATTCCCACCTATAATGAAATCATTAGATATCCACGAAATCTCAGCTCACGCCTTCGAAATTGCCTGTACTAGATCCCCAGAGAATGAACTGTTCACCTGCACTTTTCAGGAAATAGATTCATTGCTTAATCAAAGACTCTTGGAGCAAAACAGAGAAGTTGAGATATCCACCATTGAAAAGGTTTTTGCAAAAACTAACCAGAATCTTAACGAATCTGTCTTAAAGCTATTAACTACATTTACTTTAGGAGAGCCTTTTGCTTCTGATAAGTATGCCTTCTTCTATAATATCTTCAGCAAACAGGAATCGAACATTTTGCCTCTTCATTGTATTTACAATTATGTTATTACTTTCGAGAACTCAACCGAGATTAGTTTAGGCTATTCACCTTTCTATAAAATGTCTATCGATAAGCTTGAGGCAGTTAAGATCTATCTGACTGACAATCTGGCAAAAGGATTCATTGAATCTAGTCAAGCACCATTCGCTGTCCTTATTCTGTTTATCAAAAAAGCAGATGGTAATTTACGATTGTGTATTGACTATCGCAAATTCAATACCCTGATATGTAAGGATCGCTATCTTCTCCCCCTGATTGACGAGACTCTCGCATGTCTCCAAGGTGCTAAGATTTATATGAAACTTGATATTCGTTAAGCATTCCATTGTATTCGTATAGATCCCCAATCTGAAGAGTATACTATTTTTTGTACACGATATAGATCCTACAAATGTAAAGTCTTACCCTTTAGCCTGACCAATAGCCCAGCTACCTACCAGCACTATATGAACGATATATTGTTCAACTATTTAGACGATTTCTGTACTGTATATCTCGACGATATCCTCATTTACTCTGAAAACATCGAAGACTACAACAAACATATACAGAAGGTCTTCACACACCTACGTGTTGTCGGCTTACAGGTAGATCTCAAGAAATCCGAATTTGATGTTACCTGTATCAAGTACTTAGGATTCATTATCTCCACCAGTGGTGTAGAAGTTGATCCTAACAAGGTGGTGGTTGTATGCAACTAACAATATCTAGCTACCCTGAAAAGAGTACAATCCTTCCTTGGTTTTTGCAATTTCTATCGACGATTTATACCTAGCTATAATATCATTGCCTCTGCTCTGGTAAACCTCACTCGAGCCAATGTCCCCTTTTCTTTCACAAAGGAATATATGAATTCTTTCGATACCCTATGAGAGCAATTTACCTCTGTTTCCCTATTACAGTACTATAACTACAATTTGGAAAGCATGCTTGAAACAGATACCTCTGATAACGTTATTGCTACTGTATTGTCACAAAAGCATGGAGAGCAGTGATTGCCTGTAGCGTATTTCTCGAAGACCATACTTCCCACTGAACTCAATTACCTTGTTCATAACAAAGAACTGACTGCTATAATCAAGACCTTTAATCATTAGAAATCCGAACTGATAAGATCACACTTTAATATAAAAGTATTCACTAATCACAAAGCATTGAAATACTTTATAACCTCCAAACAACTTAATAATAAACAAACCTGCATTACCAAACTTCTTGCCGACTTCAACTTCCTTATTATGTATCGTCCTAGCAAAAAGAACTCTCTAGTTGATACTCTCTTTTGCAAAGACAACGATATAGAAATTACAAATAAACAAAAGAAAGAACAACATATACTATTGCTATTTATACAAGATCAACTTAACCCTTGTATCCGAACACTCCTGGAATCTCCCGATATTGTTACTCTTGAATATATCAAACCATTCATCAAGATAATAAATCGCATACTATACCTCAATAAAACCTCCGAGATCCTTTATGCTTTATGCAAAGAGACCTTGAAAGCCTTTTCAGACGAAGACCAGAAATCCCTATATACTATAATGGATGATCTCTTGCTCTACAATGAGAAATTAGTGATTCCAAGCATAGAAAACCTCTGTATACTCCTTATCAGAGATATACACACACAACCTCTCTCTGTATATCCAAGTACTACGAAAACCTCGAAAATGCTTTCAGACCATTACTACTGAAAAGGATTAAAAGATGATATTGCCTGTTACATTCGCAATTGTGAGATATATTGCTGTTCCAAGGTTTCTCGTGACAAGAAACCAGGACTCTTGAAACCTTTCAGCATACTGCAACGCCCCTGGCAACATATTACCATAGACTTCTATAACTTCAACAAAGATAAATATGGATATAACAATATCTTAGTCATTATCGACAGATTCATCAAACAAGCCATTTCTATTCCCTGTACTAAGGAATGTAATGAAAAAGAGTTTGCCGAACTATTCATATATCACATTTATTGCTACTACGGTTCTCCTACCTCCATACTCTCAGATCGAGGTATACAATTCATCAATAGGTTCTGGAAAAAGCTTTCGACCATACTTGGTATCACTTTAGTATATTCCTTTATAGATCACCCTCAAACCGATGATCAAACGGAGATATACAACCAATATCTACAGTAACGCTTACACCCCTACGTCAGCTATTACCAAGATGATTGGTCACGTTTTCTACCATTTATGGATTATGTACAATTAATGTTGCCCCACAATTCTTTGGATCAAATAACTCCTTTCGAGGTCCTCTACAGATATCCTACCTGGAAACTAGCTGAAGTGGCCATGATGCCCAAAACCGGCAAAAGAGACATGACATCCGCAAGGTCATGGAGACCCATTGCCCTACTCTCCTGCATAGGAAAGGGCCTGGAAAGAATAATCGCTAAACGGATAGACTGGACAGCCCTAAAACATGGCATTATCAGCCCTCAGCACAGCAGAGCCCTGCCCAAACGCTCCACAATGGACTTAGTGGCATCCTTCACACACAACATGGAAACTGCACTAGCAGCTGGGAAGAAAGTAACCATAATCACTATAGATATACAAGAAGCATTCGACACACTACTCAAAAGACGACTCCTAGTTAAGATAACAGAACAAGGCTGGCCTAAAAACCTACTTCTTCTAGTCGACTCCTTTCTAACGAAAAGAAAAGTCAGAGTAAGGTTAGAACAAGCCACAACCAAGGAGCACCCAGTAGCCTGCGGAACCCCACAAGGCTCCCCCCTCTCACCAGTCCTCTACATACTGTACCTGGCAGAACTAATATTGGAAAACACCTCCCTCAGATTCGGATACACGGACGACATATGCCTATACAAAGCATCCAAAACCCTAGAAGAAAACACCAGACTCCTCGCTAGAGACATTCAAGACATCATAAAGTAGGGATCGAACAATCGCATCGCCTTCAACCCAGAGAAGCTGGAAATGATCCATATCTCCATAGGAAATAGCAACACAGCACCTGCCATCAGGGTAAATAAGGAACTCACAATTCACTCGATAATAGCCACAGAAGCAAACACCCGTCCAGCACTGAGATAGCTGGGAATATGGTTCGACAGAAAGCTGAGCTTCCGGAGACACATCATAGAACGCACAAGTAAAGCCAAAGCAATGGCAAAAAATATTCGAGGTCTAGCCAAAGTCGTGCAAGGTCCCCCGGCACACGCGATGCACAAGGCAGTGACAACATACGTACTCCCCTCACTCCTATATGAAACTGAGGCCTGATACAGAGGTAGACACAAGACCGCACAAAGACCCAAACTCGGACAAACGGAGTCCAGCACCCACCTAGACTGGCACATGACACAAATCGAGAAGGTCCTCACGATAGCGACACGAGGAGTCATCCCGGCCTGGAAAACCACACCGGTAACCACCCTATACCGCGAAGCAGGACTCCCCTCAGCTATGGCAACCCTCAAGGAAGCTAAACTGAGGTTTGCCTTACGTCTACAAAGCGTAGACGAAACCCACCCGCTCACGAAAAGGATTGAACCCCCCATGATCATCAAAAGACGAGGTACGGGCTCAAGACAAAGAGCGAAGACCAAAATCCAATGATTTGATTGCCTCGTTTTCTCAATTCCGAGGTTTACACTCGAGCCATCAAGGTACACACCCAACTGCCGAATCGACCCAACGGAAGGGGTGGACAAGAAAACAGCTACAAAAGCCTTCCGAACCTGGTAGGACAATCTGCCGGACACGGATATCACTATCTTTTCAGATGGATTGGAAAATCATATGAAAGGAAAGCACATAATAGACTACGGATACATAACATACCTAGGCAAGAACCAGATACTGGTAGGCTTCGGCTTCATCAACATCTAATCCCATGTTTTCGACGCGGAGGTTATTAGAGCATGGGCAGGCCTGGATTGCATCCTCAAGGATGCCAGATACACTAACCAGAAAATCTGGATATACATCGACAGCGTCTCGGTCATCTAGGGTATGCGGGCCAACGCCTCTATGTCATCACAATAAACATTCAACAATTGCCACAAAGCCATAGAAAAAAATGATATTTATATCAAGTAGTCACTGGGGTATGAAAACATCGAAAGAAACGAGGCAGTTAACCACCTCGCAGATCTTGATGCTAAGAAACCCCAGTGAGACACTGGATCAGCGTCCCAGCCCACCTATAGCGGGATGCAATCGATCGCACACAACCTCAGAGAAACAGCCCGTCAGCAATGGTAGACCTCCTGTAAACCCGCTCTCTCAGAATAATACAAACAATAGAACCCGGTATATAAGGTCAAACCACTACCAGAGCTCCTACTCCCGCAAGTAGTCCTACACAAACTAATAGCTATCCAAACCTCACATAGGGACTTTGGATAGTATCACAGGAAATTCAAACACGAAGAGGACACAGAATACTCCTGCAGAAAGTCCAAGACTCCTAATCATCTGGTACACTACCAGAAGGTAAGAGATACCTTCGAAAAATAGCCAAACAAGTCTTTTGCTCTACCATCGACAAAGGTAGAAGGAATTCAATACCTGTGCCATATCTTAAACAATCCCACAGACTTTTCCAAGCTACTGAAGTTAACGAAGTTCTACAAAAACATATGCCCGAGGTAGAAGACCACAAGCCCGCACTCTACAAACAAAACCCTCAAAAACCCTTGACAAATCCATACCCACTACCAGGACTGATTCGCAACGTACAACACAAACGAAACCACAACTCCCCCTGCAAAGCACATGCAGGGAAATAACTACTATTGTCAGGACCTAAGAACCCAGATAAACATCAACAAAGCACACGAAAGCATACCCGAGAACACTCCCAGGAGCATACCAAACACCCTAACTGCTACACCTTAAAAGTAACCCACTGAACCACCTAAACTCACACAACAGCAAGCCCACAACATAGACACAACCGCCTACACCAGGCAAAACAGCAGGACCACCTCAACCAGCAGAGGAGAAAATACACAAATTGGAAGGTAACACACGATTACCGGGAATGGCCGTAAGGCTTTCACTTTTTTTTCTAAGGCACTTTTATCTCATGTATCGTAAGACCATAGCTTATAACATCATCATACCCCTAGGGAGGTTCTGAGGGCAGCCCTAAGCTGACCTCCTGATGTAAAATAATACTACCTACCTATCTACAGATATCCTCCTCATATCGAATAAGACTGAAAAGAACACAATTCTGATCCCCTCGACAAAATCAATATTCAGGAAACCCGTGAATTCGCTACTCATGCATATAGTACATAGGAATTTGCCTGTAATCAAATCCAACATGTTCAAGATCGAATAGCCCAACAATACAACAAACACTGCTATAAATCTGACTTCAAAGTAGGTGATATGGTGTGGTTGGATTCTCGATATTACAAAACTCAGCAGCCCTCCCGCAAGCTCGACTTTCCTATCACTGGCAAATACGAGATTGTAGAAAAAATTGGATAATCATACCGATTTGCACTTCCGGCAACAATGTGTATATTCGACATGTTTCCTCTCGAAAAACTCTGCCTTGCACTGGAAGACTTATTTCCAGGACAAATTAACCCTCCGCCATACCCCATGAATATCACTAACAAAGAAGAATAGGAAATAAAGGAAGTATTAGCTTCAAAGTTGCAATACAAAAACGTTTTCTACCAGGTTTTCTGGTTAGATTATTCTTTGGATACCACATGGTATAGAGCAGATAATTTTAAATATTCCTTTTACAAACTTCAAGCTTATCACTTTAGTTATTCTAGCCAAGTAGGACCACTTATTGCCCTTACAGCATAGATAAAAAACCACGACAACAGAGTTGACAACTATAATGAGATCACAGACGATTTGCCTATGAAAGGACGCGTGAGGTCACACTTTTTCGAAAAGGGGGGTAATGTAACGGAACAGACGGCTCTCTTCCGCCCACTGGCTCATACTACATACATAGTATAATATGACAGCTCTTTTGGACCTTCCTTTCACAGCTTAGAGCCCTAGCTCTATAGCTCTAGACCTAGGCATCTTACATCTAGGACCCTTTCACTCTTTTGGGCCTAGCCCTTATGGCTCCCAATACCTGTATATATAGTCCTCCTTTTAGCACCCTACATAGCTCTTCACTTGTAGATTCTAAGTACACAATCGGAGTCCTGTTTATACCCTTTTGGTCACAATTCTATTATATTTTTATAATTTTGTAACTAAATACTATAAATCTATATATTTATAAAAGATTATAAAAGCTAATATTATGAAGTTCTTTATTGGAAAGCCTGAACTTAATAATAAGATTTATAAAAAATTATTTCTATAGCTAAAAGATCTATTACCAGGTTTTTTATTATATTATACTGATATATTACCATCTCGAAGAGTATGGGATTACAAGATCGAATTAATGCCTGGAAAATAATCTTTATATTTCAAGAACAGTTCTTTGTCTCCTCTTGAACTTTAGATAATTAGAAAATGGATTGATAAAAACCTTTCTAAAGGTTTTATATATAAATCCAGATCCTAGAGTATTATATTATTTTTGCTAATAATTAAACTAGATGGAGGTATTTGTATTTATCAAGATTACTGGGGATTAAACAATATAATAATCAAGAATCGATATCTTTTGTTTATTATACAAAAAATATTGGATATATTATATAATATTAAGATTTATATAAAACTTGATATTATTATTGTCTTCAACAAACTCTGTATTACTGAAGGTAACGAATGGAAAACTGTTTTCATTACTCGTTTTGGCCTCTTCGAATTCTTAGTGATATCGTTCGATTTATACAATACATTAGTATCATTTCAATATTATATTAATTATATACTTTTTAACAAATTCAATAAATACTATATAGTATATCTAAATAATATCCTGATATATTTTGCAAATAAATCAGAATACAAGGAATATGTTTATATAATTATTAAGAAACTTATAGATACTAATTTGTAAATCGATATTCATAAATACGAATTTGAAACAATTTCAAACAAATACTTAAACTTGATAATTATAACAAATAGAATAGAAATAAACAAGGATAAAGTTATTACAATTACTTTTGAGAAAAACCATTATTAATAAAAGATCTTCAACATTTTTTAGGATTTACTAATTTTTATCACCGATTTATTAAAGACTTTTCAAAAATCTATCATTTATT